ATCACAGCACAATTCACAATCGCAAAGATGTGGAATCAATAAGTGCCCTTCAATTCATGAGTCGATAAAGAGACTGTGATATGTGTACCATGGAGTATTACTCAGCCATAAAAAGGAATGAAATCATGTCTTTTGCAGCAACTTGGATGGAACTGGAGACCATTATCCTAAGTGAAGTATCTCAAGAATGGAAAAATAAATACCACATGTTCTTATTAATAAGCGGGAGCTAAGCAATGGGTGCGCGTGGGCACAAAGAGACATAAAGGCCACTGGAAACTGAGAAGAGGGGTGAGGGGTGGCAAGGAATAAAAACTTGCCTATTGGGTACAATGTGCACCATCCTGGTGACGGGCACACTAAAAGCCCTGGCTTTAGCATTATACAATGCACCAATGTAACAAAAACATTTGTACCCCCTTAATATTTTGAAATAAAAAAAAAATTCAAATTTTAGAAAAAGTGCTCCTCCAGCTAACAAGGTGGAGATGATTCTGTTTACCTGAGAAGCAAATATTCCATCTGTATTGTTCAATCTAGCCATAGAGGTGATAGAAGGCAGCATTGCTGTGTAACTTTCCCCTCTGTTTATTTGCAACCCTGTTCCCCCCACCCCCAGGGAAGGGCAGGCAGGTGTTTGTGGGGAAGTGTGAGTTGGCAGAGAGGGATGTAAATGTGTTCCTGTGTACCATATAAAGAGTCGCTGCCACACTGTGGGCCAAAAGGTGACCTGTGCCATTGCCCCGTGATGCTCAGAGCTCCTGCTGGTTCCCAACAGAAAGGACCTTCCGAGCTACTGGCATGTCTCATGGTCCAGTTTGTAGGTAACTTTCTCTCCTTGCCATTTCAGGGAGAGAAGAACTGCCTTTCACTTGTTTCTCCTGGCAGATACCATTCAGGTTGGGTCCAGTTAGGCTTTATCCATTTCTTCACAAAATCAAAATCAAAAAAGTCATGGAAATCTGACCATCAAGATCATATAACTCAACCTTCCCTCCCATTTCACAGAGGCGGAGGCAGGCACGCGGGATGCTTGTTGTCTGTTAGATAATTGCCTTTCTGGCTGGAATCAGAAAGCGGGTCAGGCCCAAGAGTGAGGACTAACACCTCCGTTCCACCCTGTGTTCCTGTACTGCTTTACCCCCAAACCCCTCTGTCTTCCCCCTCCCTGGCCCCCAGCATGGCCATGGCCTTTCCGGTGTAGAGCCAAAGACACCAATTCAAGAACTAAAAACACAGTCTGAACGGTAACTGTTTTTGCCATCAAACTTCTGTAGAATGTGTGCTTGTGTGATCATTTCTTTTCTTTAACATTGATTTCTCTTCCAAGAGTCATGCCTGTTCCTTAATGTTAATGATTATAAATCACCGTTTAAGAGATTTTTCTCATAACATATTAAAACAAGTCAATCTGATCAATTCTATTAGAAACATTAATCCGTTGGAAAGATCAATCAAGCTGATTGTAGGGGATTAGGTAGATGTAGGTCAGTTACCAATCTTCGTGTTCACTTTTAACTAGTTTTAGAGGCACAGAATTTGTACTACTTCCCACACCCCTGGTCCCAGACTCTCCCAAAGCCAACCACCCATCAACGATGCAGGAAAGCCACAAAACTCAAGTGTCATTCTGATATCAGAGCAGTACACAGTTATAGGAAACCATACGCTGACTTCAGTCATTGATTCATCAGATAACGCAATAGCTACCCATAGATGGTTTCACTGTGGCTCAAGAAATTCCAGAAATGTAAAATATGAACAGGTCACATCCAAACCTCCTCTAGATCCATTCAGTGCCAGACACTCTCCATTAGGTGACTTTAAACTCTGTAATGGCAAGAACTCAGAAAACTGGCCTGGAGAGGGTCTTAACTGATTTCATCAAAAATAGAAACTACTTATTTTTAAAACACTTATGAGATAATTTAATGTAGTAATATACAATTGGCATTATTTCCCATCCCAAAACCGTCTTAAAAGAACTGGTGGTTAAAACTAGAAGACAAAGTAATATAGACCGATTGCAGCCGGTGGGGAGAGGGAAGCGTGGAGAAGGATTGCAGAGAGCCTGCAGGTGAGAGCACAGGCTTCTGACTAGAGCACAACTGTGGGAAAATAGGGTTTAACATCACTCGGTGTAGAGTAACTAATGAGATGCCTTGTGATTAAACCAAAATTTTTAAGTAAATAATTATTTGGAAAGAGACTGATAAAAAGAATATGAAGACAATGGAAAAAACCGAGAAGTACTTTCTTATGTTATAAGGTCAATAAATACAATTATTCAGTGTTTTCATCGCAGACCCCTCCCCCATACAGCTTTCGACATATCCTTTATCTTTATAGTTAAATGAACATCAGAACATACTCTTAAGTCTAAGTTCAAAACAATGAAGAAAAGTAGAAACAAAGCAAAACAAAAACTGTGGCTAGCATTGCCCATTTGTGTACCAAATTTCTCTAAGTTGTAAAGGAAAAATCTTTATAAGTTTAACATTTTATGCAAATATCTTCCATCAGTATAGTGCTCGCACGTGTTGGACACCGAGCCAGCTGGGACCCGCAAGAGGACCATATTCTGTTCATGGTTTTATAGACATGCACACAAATGCACACACACACGCATGTCACGGGACATCCAAAGCTAGGATAACGCACTTCATGTCTCCTTTTACCCAGCTAAATACAATGCGATGGATCTATTAAGGTCAGGGAGAAGACCAAAATCATCCAAGTGTGTGCGCAATGACCCATTTACTATTCTACCTTCTTCCTCATAAGGAATCTCCTAAAGAGAAACTGTTAACAAGAAGACAGGCGCCATTAGAACACGATAGCCAGGAAATACCAGCACAGGACCTGAAATGAACGCCTACCAGCCGTGGCATAGGTTGGCGGTAGGTGAGGACTTGCCTAGGAACAGTGGGTTTTAGTTCTTATGTTCAAAAATCCCACCACACTCCTCTCCAGGCAGCCTGCATGCCTATCAGCTACTTAAAACTTCAGGTCAAACCAACCTGCTGACAGGCAGTCTGAAAAATCAGTGACTGCGACTGAAACGTAATTTCCAATAGCCTTAATTTAATACACGCCATATTGTACTCTCAATGATTGAAATGAACAAACAAATAGGCCTTCCAAGTTGTTGGAACTTAAAAGAAGACTCCTTTGGAACTCAAGGTCAGCAAGACCGATGTATATACTTCTCTCTGGTCTTCAATGTGCGTATCGTCAAATTTGGCTTAGAGACCCAGAGGTGAAAAAAATACTAACATTGAGCTTGAGAGATAGAGGAGATGCGGTTTCTTACCCATGGGTAAGGGCTCGTGCATCACAACCAGCTGCCAGCACTAGTGTCCACTTGGCCCCCATCTCCACCGTTGAAGTGTGTACAGCCGCCATGTCCACACGGCCACATGCCACACACCTGCCATGTGTATGCAGATGTGCTCTGCAACTTCAGACAGGTGCCAGGCTTCCCACATCCCAAAGAAATAATTTACAACAATATGGAAGTTGAGCGTTCACACCCTTAATGGTTTCTGCAGTTACATATTCTCGATTACCAAGTAGCATTTGTATTTGCCAAATAAAAGGATATAACAAAATCTTTAGACATTTTTACACTCTAAAAAAAGAAACAATTTGTATAATAAATCATTTCAAAATTATGATAATCTCTGAATAATATGGACGTAAGTACTTACCATTGCCTAGTCTAACTTGCAAAATACTCTGCACAGACTCCTATTACCTGGGGGATGCAGGAATTATTTGCTACGGTAGCGCAGACCCTGCATGGCATAGCTTTTTGTAAGAAAATTTTAAGACCAAATATTACCACAAAAGGGATGAAAAATGTTTGCTAAAATATAATTCTTATTTCTTTTTTTATAACTGGCAGCCATATATTTGTTAATTATTAAAATAGTACAAAATATATCCAGGTTGTTATTTATCATAATAATGATTTCAGTTTCCATGGACTTCAGTTCGTAACCAAAAGAAAAGGGTGTGTACCTTTATAGAGCAACCTGAGGTCAAAGCCAAATGCCGCGTACAGAGCTGATGAATTTGCCAGGCACTCATGGCGACATCAAATTATTCCCCCCAAATATGGAAAAATACCAACCATACAAAAAAAGTCATCTGTAATATTTGAATTCCATACTAAACACCATTTTTTTCATTAATTTCATTTCAAATTAACTTAAGAAATGCCCTGACTTTTGCTCTAAAGTCATAACTAAGCAAAGAAAGTCAAAATATGGGCAGTCACTAAAATACCACCTCTTTTGAGGTAAGCAGGCAGCACAGCTCCCAACTATTTCTAGCAAAACCCAAATGCACTGTCCAGGGATAGCCCAAACCAGTCCTTTGTTTCAAGATGCACGCCAAGCCGTGCAAAAGGTTCCAAGTGCACACAGAGATTCCTGTTTTCTGTGCAGGGACGACTTTTGTGACTTCGTGTTTCTTGTGACGTCAAAGGAGAAGAGCCATCGACTCTGTTTTGGAGACATGAGCCCATCTCTCCGAAGCTCTGCCCAAATCGGCACCTGCCAGGCCCCAGGCCCCAAGGCCGGGGTGCAGAAAGGACAGCAGCCCTACCAACAGCCCTCTCCCTTCGCCACCAACCTGGGCTCAGACTCCACCCCACACGTCTTTCCACCTAATTTCCACAGCTTAACCAACAACAAAACATTTCCATCTGGTTCATTTTTCCTTTGCATTTTATCTATAGCCCAGAAAAAGCTTGACTAGTTCATTTGGGCCTACTTTTAACCAAATCCAGAATGCTTTAAGTGAAATAAAAGGTGTCTGCCTGGGTTTCTTTTATGTGGAAATCAGATATCCAAGTATCACTTTTGTTTCCATAGGAAATTTTCCATCTCCACTTTTTCTTTGGTGTTATTGTAGGCAAAGAAGCACCCAGCTGCTTCCAGCACCACATCTCTCCTTGAAATCACAGCACATCAGCCCCTTGCTTCAAGCCTCACCTCCAACTTCAGGACGCAGAGGGCCCTGCCTGTGCAGGGGACGAAGATTCCACATGACGTGACCCTTAGCATCCCCGGATTGGAGCAGCATGGAGGAAGGAAATGTCTCTCCCTGCTGTCCCTCATCAGCCACAAACACTAGGGGGACAGCACCGGACCCCCCGCCCTCCTGACGCAGGTGCCCTACATGCAGACGTGAACACAGGCTATGCCTCCATAGCACAGCTTGTCCACACCAAGGCACACAACAGCAAGGCAGCCCGGGAGGGGAAATGGCCAGCAGTCCCTGGCCAGTGCCTCCCGGCCTCCTCCTGCCACCTCTCCCAAGCCACCCCAGCCCCCCGCCCAGAGCTTCAGGTCCATGCAGACCTGGGTCTCCAGCATCCGCCACATCAGCTCACTCCCACCCCACTCCCAATTTTCTGAAGAAACACACAAAATCCCATTTGTGGGGGAGAAACATCTACTCAAGTTGCCTTGCTATAGGGCGCTCTGAGGAAGCCTGGCTGGGGCATCCCTGTGGATGGCTCTCAACTCCAAAACGCTTCCCTGCGTGTGCTGCTTCTCCTCTCTCCTCCCCCTCCCCGCCCCTACCTTGCTCCTCGCTGCCGTCCCCAAACCAGGCAGTGGGTTCCTCCTCTGGGAGCCGGGAGCCGCCACCTCCTCCACCCTCCAGGGCTTTGCGTTTCTTCGACATCTCTGCCCAGGGCTGGGGATTTGGGGGTTTTCTTTCCCCACCCCCAGCCCTCCCCCCTTGGAGAGGAGAGTGAAGGTGGGGTTAGGTGGTGACAAAAGGGGTGGGGAGAAGAGACCAGAGAGGGAGGTGGAACAAAATGCTGCTTAAAGAGGAAAAGGGACTTGTGGTGGCAGGAAAGGCAGGGGGGGCAGAGACTCAGTGCAGAAACCCCCGGTGGGCTCCCTCGGTGCAGCCCCACGTCTAGGAGCCTGTGTGCTGGGTCTCCTCTCTCCCTCTCTCCCTCTCTCTCTCTCTCCCCCCCCCTTCCTCCTTCCTCTTTTTCCTTCAACTAGGAGGGTAAGCTGAGAGGGGAGGGGAGATTAAAAACAGAGAGGAGAGGCTCCTCAGGCATCTGGCTGATTTCTCCCTAATTTGGGAGGGGGTGGGGGTGCTCCCGTGAGGCTGCCGGCCCTGTGTGGCTGTGAAGGAGGGGTGTCTTTTGGCTGGGGTGGGGGGCAGCTGGGTGTGCAGTGTCCGGTGGGGATGTGTTTTCAATGGATTGCAAGGAACAGTGGGTGGAACGAAGAAAAGAAAATGCTGCAGGACGCAACACAGTGACGCTCTCAGGTGCTAGGGGCTCCGGACCCCTCCTCCCCTATGACATCATGGGATCTTTAGCAAAAGAGGCTGGGGGAGGTGGGGGGACACAGGAGAGTGGCGCCAGAAGCAGAGATGAAAAGAGGGGACCTGTCCCCACCGAGAACTGGAGCAGGGCGGCAGGCACGGAGGGAGGGAGTCGTGGCGCACGCCAGCCCTTCTCCGCCGGGCCGCCTTTGGAGGCACCTGCGGGTCTGGCGCCGCAGACGCTGCGGTTTGCAGCTGGCGCGCAGCCCTGGCCGGGAACTTGGAGCTCAAAAACTCAGACCCAGCATTAGCCCTGCGGCTGTCACCGGGCACCGGCGCCCGGGCTGGCTGCAGTCTCTCTGCCCTCTGCAGACCCTCGAGTGCTCCGGCTTTACAAACTCCAGTTTCTTCTTTCTGGTTTCCACCCATCGCCCCTTCCCCACGACTGTCATGTCCACAAACAACACGTCTCACACACACACGTACCCACGTTTCCTTATTGCCGAAAAGGATGGAGGGAAGTGATGGGAAGTTTAAGAAAAAAAAGTAGGAAAACGGTTGGAATTAAGTTTTTCTGGACTCCCAAGGGTTAAATAATAGGTCAAAGGAAACTGTCAACTTACCTGCCGAAGTATGCTGAAGCGCATCTCTGCCTCCGTTTCCAGTTCACAAATTCAAGCGAGAGAGAGGAAGATAAGAGGGCAAGGCGCCGGAGCACGGGGTCCAGGGCTCCATCGGGAACTGCAGAACAAGTTGCCACGCGAGCCAGGTGGCCCAAGTTCAGGACCTGTCCACACTGGCAGCCGCTCCGACAGCAGGCATATTCCAAAGGCTTCTTGCACCCTGGGCTTCCCGCTGATCTTTGGGCTGAAGGGGAGACAACTGTGAACCCAGCGTGCTGTCCCTCTCTCCCTGCTTTCCATCTGGGAGTCTCCGGGAAAGCCGCACCGCGCGCTCCGGGCGCCAGTGAAGACCAGTCCACGCAGCCCAGCAACTTGGGACTCGCACAGCCACGGAGAGGACGTGTGTGAGTGCTCCTGTGCGCGCGTGTATGTGTGTGCGCCCGCGTGCACTTGACATTTGGGGGTGCATGTGCTCTCAGGACGGCTGTCCCTGGCTGCCTGGAACTTAGAGAGTTTCCCTTTAAGCCGGCGCTGCTGCTCGGACACCCCCCCGCGTCCAACAGGAGGCGATGACGTCTGTAGCCTCGTTGCCAGAACGGTCCCCAGGCTGCCGCTGCCGTTCATTGACAGGAGCGGGTGTTCGGACGTCAGCAGCCGGACCTTTGGCAAGGCTGCTCCGCGGAGACGGCTCCCACCCCCGCACCTGCCAGCCCGCCCTCGGGGTGGGGGGGGGCGGTAATGAAATCAAAGCTATCGAGGGAGGGGCCGGGAGGAGCTGGGGCTGGCGGGGAGGTGACTGGATCTGCCCTCTTTGTCCTGGAGCGCTGGAGTATATAAATAGTGCAGTCTCCAGCCAGACTCGGGAGCCCTCTCGCACGCCCCCGCAGCTCCCCCCGCCTCCCCTTGTCACTTCGTGTCGGCTCGCTCTGCCTGGAGGGAGGCAGGGGGCGGGGAAGCGGGGTGTGGAAACAGACGCTGGTTCTCTCTCCTCTTCCCATTCATAGATTCGGTTGGAGCTTAGGGCCGCCGCTCCCAGAGTCACAATGAATGGATGGATGCCCGGCGCGGAGACCACCAGGTCCGCTGGGACGCAGCCGGCGCTGGGGCCGCTCCTCCAGCGCCTGGACTCGCACCCTCGCCTCGGTGCGGGTGGGGGACCCCAAACGACCATCCTTAAGATGCCAAAGGCCTGACCTCTCCCTCCTCCCCAACACGCACCCGAGGTCTTTCCTAACCCCTGCAATGTTGTTGGAAAGCAGCACAGAGGCAGCTGCGCTCAGCCTCCGCACCACGGAGACTGCGGGTGGGGACCCGGACCAGAGCCAACCCGCAGCCCGGAGAGTAGCAACAGGGAGGGCAGCGGCTGAAGCCAAGGATGTCACCTCCCGCAGCGTACCCCCCGGCGACCCTGGACCTTGGGCCTGCCTTCCTGAGCACCCAGGGGTGCGCTGCGCCAGGTGGGGGGGCAGGGGGAGGGTGCGGGGACTGCGGCGCTGGCTCCCCACCCGAGCCCAGCTCGCCAGGAATCCTGGGCTAGCCTGGCCACGGGCTGCTGCAGGAGCACCCGGTGGTGCGGCGCACGCCGGACCCTGGGGGAACACGGCGCCCCGGCGCTGCCCCAGCGCGGTTCGCACAGGAATGAAAGGGATTGAGCTCTGAGGCACCAGGCACGCCGCCGCTGGAGCTTCATGCATGTGCCCAAAGGCTTCATCCACCAGTGTCGCTGCAGTGAAACTGAGCGCATTCACCACACCAAGACCGTGCCTGGCCGGGTGACAACAAGCGCCCAGCCGTGTGCTGACTACCTGCACAGAGCCCTTCCTGCTCAGCCTGTGTGAGAAGGCTGTAAGAAGGGGCCCATTCTTCTGGCCCTCTCCTGGCACTTGGGCCCTTGATCCCTGCCCCTTGTGCTGGAGAAGGGGGAGCACTCCACGACTGCCTGGCTGCCTCCCCACCCGTCTGCCGGGTCCTTCCTCCCTCCGTGCACACACTCACATGCGGGCACACTCACGCGCGCACACATACCCACAGACATTCACACGCGCACACTAACATGTAGACACACACACTAACACACGCGCACACTCGCGCTCACACACAGGCACACACACTCACAGGCTCACACACATGCTCACACACACACACACACCCGCACTCACACACAATGTTTCTCCCATGGAAAATGAAAACCTCATGAGTCCACCTTCTCCCTGTTCTCCGCCCAGCTTCTGTGTCCCTTTGCAACAGACAGCCTGCAACAGGTGTGCTGGACTGGCCTGGTTTCTCTCCTCTGGCTGGCTCTCGAACCCACTCCAGCACTTACCTACGGTGCTACTGCCACTGCTCTGCGAAGTCCCTGCCCCACCGGGTCACCACTCAACCCACCTGGCACCATCCATGGTCAGTTGTCTCGTTTGACTACTGACCGTAGTGGACCAACTTCCTCGTTCCCCCTGAAGTCACAGCTTTCACTTGGCTTTCAAGATGCTACACTCTCCCGATTTTTGTCCTGCCTTTTTGGCCACTTCCTCTTAGTCACATTTGCTGAACTTTTCACCTCCACAACCTCTCGATGGATGTTGGCACGTCCCAGGCTCATCCACGGCCGTTTTCATTCCCCACCATTACCTGTCCCTGGTGACCTTGCTCGGCCTCACAGTTCAAACACTGACTGAATGCTGGTGACCTTAGCATTTATTCATTCGGCCCAGACCCCTCCCCTAAACTCTGGATTCATGTGTCTAGCTACCTGCTCCTTGTGGGTGTCTACAAGGCACCTAAAACCTCGCACAGCTGTCACCCCCTTACAAACCTGCTCTTCCCACAGTTCTTCCGCCTCAGTAAATAGAAACCTCACGGCCGTAGTGTCTGGGTTATGGCTGCTGCTGCTTCGAGCAGCGCCCACCACGCGCACGCCTCCGTCACTCTGTTCTAAGCCACCAGGGCCCCTAGAGCCCAGCAGGCCCCCACCCAGCTCCAAGCCTCTGCAGCGGCTGACTCCTCCGCACAGACTCTTCTGCCAAGTGCCCCGAATGTTTGCGAGGTTGTTCTCTTTCTCCTTCACGTCCTTCCTCTCGTGCCTCTGCCTGAAGCCTCCAGAGTCTGCCCCACCAAACCACGCCACTTCCCTGGCACTCGCTGGCCCCTTTCCTTACTTTCCTCTGCATTCCTTCTGGTTGCCTTGTTTGCCTTGTTTATGCCATCTCTCCACTAAATGGCAGCTTCCCAACGACAGGGGTTTTCAATTTTCTTATAATTGCATAAAAAAAAACTTAACCTCATCAAAACTTCTTTACTTCTCCACACATTCCAGAGATGCCTGATTATTTGTTGGCAAATAAAAGAAAGTGAGCTTGGACATTGGCAAAGGCCTTTTCTCTGCCACAGTGGTCCCCCGAATTAAAAGAGAGAGAGATAATATATAAATGTATATGTATATATACATATACAAAAGCTTTTGCCCAAGACCACCGCCACGTCTCTGGGTGATTTCTGAGAAATGCAGGGACATTCTCTCCCCCCTGCACATTTCTCGTTCAATCCTTTCTTCCTCTTCCCCCTTTTTTTTCTCCCTATTAGTCTTCTTTCCTTTTCTGCCCAAGCCTTAGCCCACCATGTGCACCAAGGGGCACACCCAGCCTTTGGCCACCCCAGAAGCAAAGGGGACTTTGGGGCTGACTTGTGTCCTCAAGGTGCCTGCTCCTCCCCTTCCGTTCTGTTTCTGTGTATTCCAATCCCTGCTTCTCCAGCAGGGAAATACTCTAGTTTCTGAAG